AAGGTCCAGTCCAAATGCCTTAACAAAACTTCCTTGGACCGACCGACCGACAGACAGACAGACAGACACACACACACACACACACACACACACACACACACACACACACACACACACACACACGACCGACCGACGACACGACACGACAACACACACACACACACACACACACACACACACACACACACACACACACACACACACACACACGATTACTCTCCCCCAGCCCCATGTTTCTAAAGCACGGCATTTTCTCTATTACACTTTATCTTCCTGGTTGCCTTGGATTAAAATTGGTCATGAGGGTATGGCCTTCCCATCAGATTGTGAGCAGGGTGGCCTGACACCCTGCCCCATTAATCTCTGTAACCCTGAGGTTACCTAAGGGTCTTGCACATGGGAACCTGCTGAGACTGTCCTAAACTCTCAGGCTCTGTCCCTGGGAGTTTAGGGCAATCCCAGCACTTGCAGGGGAACCCGGGAGAGGGTTTGTGTCTACAGACCAGTCTTAAGTAAAGGAGGACACAGCCATGGTTGCAGCAGAATTCGGGACACTCTGAGGGGGAGACGAGACTGGGGAGGAGTCTGTGATTCAGCTGCTCCTTCTCATCAGGAGACTCTTATAAAAACCAACTCACAGAGGCTCTGAGTTTGCTTCTTCATCTGCTTGGCATTTGCACGGAGTACCTGCTCAGAGCCAGGTCTCTGCTGAGCTCTGGGGACTGAACCAGCCAGACCCTGCCCTGGGGACAATCAATCACAACTGGTAAACAAGGGCCATGCAGTCCAGAGGGACAGCCTGTCCCGGGAGTGGGACATAAAACGCTTTATATCTGAGATCCTGTGCAGTCCTCTGGGTTAACGACTCCTTTGTCAAGATCATCATTTAACGCCCATGTCCCTGAGAGGGGAGAAGGGTTTAGTGAGCCCAGGGCTAGGAAAGCAGCCTTTGAAGTAAACACTGTCATTAACACAAGGACAGCAGGCCCTTGCTGCCAGGTGAGGACACAGAAGGGCTCATTCCGGGAGACTCACTCCTGCTCCCCTTCAAAGTCAGCACGTCTAAAGCTTGTCCCCAGGCTTACTGTTCCTCCTGGGTTCCCATCTCAGGAAGGTACCCCCATCTACTCCACCGGCCAAGCCAAACCATGAGCATCACGCAGGACCCCCTCCCATCAGCCACAGTCACTAGGTTGCTCACATCTCCCTCCGTCGCGTCTCCAGATGCCTCCTCTCCACCCTCCAGCAGCTCCAATGTCTCCAGCCTCCAGCTGGCTCCCTCTGAATCCATCTCCTTCCAGGCACCAGAGGGATCTTTCTGAAATGCATACCTGATCCTATTCCTTCCCTGCTTAAACTCCTTCAGTGGCTCCCCATTCCCATGAGAATAAAGTCCAAATTTATCCTAATAAAGCCTATAACGTAGCCCCCTGCCTCTGCGCCCCCGTGTGCCCCTAGTACCAGCCACGCTGGATGACCTGCAGCCTCCTGACAGTGCTCCCTCCCGAGGCGGGTGCACAGAGCTCTCCTCTGCCTGGAAGCCCTCCCGGCCCTGAGCGTTCCTCAGGCATCAGCTCCGGTGTGGCCTCCTGGCTTGGGCTCCTTCTAGGGCCTCCTACAACCCCCGTGCCTCCCTCCACAAATGCACTTAGAATAACTGCCTGTCAATTCCTGTCCCTACCAGGCTGCACACTCCGTAGGGGTGGACATCAGCTCTGATTATTCACAACACCCAGCACGATGCTCCTCCCTGACCAGTTCCGTGAGGGGCGACAGCGCTCACAGGTACAGACCCTGCCCATCAGTGAGGGTCTTGCTGACTCTCTGCGTGTTGATCCTGCGAGCTGAAGGCCACTGGGATGGATGAAGTGAGGTTGTGAGCGTTTAGAAACTGACCCAGAGGCTGTCCTGGCAGTTCAGATAGCTCTGTGGGTAAGTGATTCTGATGATGCAGGCAGCAGTGAAGGTCTGGAGTAGAAACAAATTTAAAGCTATTAGGGCAGACGCCTCAGGGCACTGCAGTGTTTGCAACCGGACCCAATGACTCTTGAAGTCAAAAGTGAATTTGAATGGGATCCAAATAATGTTTGTTGAGGATCTGCTACATACCAGGTGCTGTGTTAGGTGCTTTCACATAGCTTTTAAGTAGAGAGGCCATGTAAGTTGTCATCCAACCAGTGACACTTTTGAGAGTGAAAGGGGGCACTCCAGGACAAGAAGTATAAACCAGAACTGCCCCAGGCAAGCCAAAACTTTAAACCATCTATCTGTAGACTACACTTCATGTACCTTTTTTGTAACTGCTGACACAATTTGTAAATCTATATTTATTAGTATTCACTTGTTTAATGTCTATTTCCCCACCAAATTGCAAGGGTTAGGGTTGGGTTTGCTATTACAATTGCAATGTACTGAGATAGGAGGGAAGGGAGCAGGGCACAACCATTAAAAGAATGACACAGCCATTGAGAATACGACAGGAACTGGTTAGAATCAACTTGGCCTGAGATGGAGGAAGATTCACCTTCCGGTACAACTTGAGCCTCATTACGCTCTCTGTAATATGTTAACATGGTAAATGACATACCCACAGGCACCATGACAGTTTCGAGGCCATATAAGGCCAAAAAGTGGGTGGTGGTCCAATTCATAGAAATCCCTACCTCTTCCCCCAAATAGCTGGGAATAATCATCCCACTGTTAGCACATGAATTTATCTAGTCTATAAAAACTATCCACCCCAACACCTCGAGGGTACTCCCACTTTCCTAGACAACCCCACGCTCTGGGGCTGCTCTCCCTTCTGAGATGGCCTGTACTGTCTGTGGAGTGTGGATCTCCCTGAATAAATCTGCTTTCATTTTACTATGACTTGCTCTTGAGTTCTTTCTCACAAAAAGCCAAGGACCCTTACTTGGTGGGGGGTGTCCCAGGGACGCAGCAGACACCTGGGACATGACCATTCTGTCTCGCTCCATTTTCCTGCAATAGCATATAGAAAGTCCTTGATAACTAGTTGAGGAAAGAAAGAAGAGAGTAGGATTCTGGGCAAGGAGAGAGGGAGGGGGTGAGAGGGAGAGACTGAGGAAGCTGGGTTCCTGGGCCAGGTCAGCTTGGCTCCCAGGTTAGTGCTCCACGTCCTTGCTTGGGGCGTACAAGAGTGGACTTTCAGGAAGAGTGCAGCTCCCACTACTCGCTCAGCATCCAAGTGTGTTCATTAAGACCCAACCAGCCGATGATCCACCTGCTCACGGCACAAAGAGTATCCTAACAGCTCTGAAATTCAGTGTTGCCTGATCTATGTTCTGTGTCAGGGCCAAGTGCCCTGCCGCTTGTGAGCAAATCAGTGGCTTCTGAGTGACGATGGCAAAACCTGACACCCTCCCTCTGGTTCCTCCCCCAGTTCTCCCTAAAGCACCACTTTATTCTGGGGCCCCCTCTGTCACTTCCCCTGCCTCATGTCTTTTCTTTGATCGCACCTCATTGTCCCTTCTGTGAATAACTGTTTTGTATCTATAAACCATATTACAGTTGGCTTAACAGAATTTGCCAGGTTCAGTCCAATTCAACTCAACAAATAGTTATTGAATATCTCTTATCAGCCAGATCAGAAAAAGTGTAAGGGCTGATCTCTTTAAGAAGGAGGTGGCAGAAGAAGAAGGCAGCGTGATTCTAGCAGGGAAACTGCAGTCAACACAGAGGTCTGGGGAGCAGAACCCAGCTGACGACTATTCAGAAGCAGCTTCTCTCTGCCAGGAAAGCTGGCATCAAGAGTTCAGGGTAATAAAGGGGTGTGGTGAGCACGGCTAAGGCTTTCTTTTGTAGACCAGGAAGGAAGCAGATATACAACTGTGGTTATGTGAGCTCTGACCGCACAGAGACCTAGGCAAGCAAAGATCACAGAGGAGGATCAAGAGTTGAGATAACTACTTCACACCTAAGACTCACTTTTTCATTAATCCTTGCTCTGAGATAGGCCTTATATATTATTCTTTAATTTAGAATATTCTTATTGGCATCTTCAAAGAGAGTGAGTAGAATGAGGTACATGGTGCATCTCTGAAATACCCCAACTCTGGTTGCTGTCTTGGCAATCACTATCTGTCCCCTGATGGTGGTCAAGGGGTCAAAAGTCAGTTGTCAAGACAGGAAAAGACTCAGATGTAATCTCACTAGAGTGTCCGCCAAACAACCGAGTCTCCTCGAGGCCCCCTTTTGGACAGGGTCATGTAGCTTAAAGCTGAACACTTAGTAAGGCCAACTTCACGGCTCACACACCCATTCCATCATCAAGCAGCTCTAATGGTTAAAAAGTTTTATTTCTCCACAGCCTTACCTCTTGCTTTGGCCTCCACCCAGAAGCTGTCCATCTTCTCTGCTAACCTTCAGACAATGATGATGGTCGACTCTTTTCTCTAAGCTATGAAATCCCAGTGTCTTCTCCTACTTCTCACAAAGGCTTGCTCCTCTGAGCAAACTCAGTATGGAATCTACTGTTCCCCCTTTTTTTCTGGGAAAGCAGGCCCTCTTCTCTGGGAAGAGGTTCATCACTGCCACCACACCGCGCAACTCTAACGTGTGGTTCCAGGGAGGCTGTCCTGTCCTTGCATACACTTGCCTCATGGGCCACAGCTGCCTTGCCCAAGGTGAGTCACTCTCATCTGGCACTTGACATGCAGAGGACGGGTGGAGGACACCAGGCTACAGTCTTCAGCTAGATGAGACTCTGGGACTCTTCTAAAAAAATTCCCTATTTTGGTTAAACTAGTTCAAGTTGTATTTCTTCTGCTTGTCACCCAAGAGCCCTGCCAAGTGAGGCCCTCCTCCAGCATATGTCCTTCACCCCACGAGGTCTCCACAACTGAAGCAGGCCTAGTCCCTCCCTGGCTCTGATCCTGAATCCCTCATTTGCAGCTCCTAGCGGACTCACTCAGGACAACACTGTCCATTCCCAGACCAGGCCGTAAGACCGGCAGCGCTGAGGGGGTTTGGTTACTCACTGGGTCGTTGTACATCTGGATGATGAGCTGTTTCACCCCGTGCAGGGTAGGGTGGGCCCACGGAGAGGGATCCAGCCAGTGACGATTCAGGTCGAACCCCATCAGAGAGCATCTAGGCAGTACCCAAAGTCAGAGTCAGTGCGGACAGGACAAGTCTTGCTTGTCAAACTGCAGCAAGGAGCAGGAGCAGGTGTCATGCCATTTGCCTAGCACTTAATTTTTTTTGCCAGAGACAGTTCTGAGCATTTTACATGAATTAATTCTGTCACTTTCAACAACCCTATGAGGTCGCCATTATTACAATTCCTACTTTACAGAAGAAGAAACCGAGTCACAGAGAGGTTGGAACATATTCAGTGAGCAGTCTCACTTCAGTGTCCATGCCCTGAGACCACAGAGGCATGCACATCTCCTATGTATGGCCAGGAAGAAGGCTCAGGCCCAGACCACTGGCATCCCCACTGTTTCTCTCTGTCCCACATCCACAGCCAATCCATTGTCTCTGCCTTCAAAATATATTCAGAACCCAACACTTGACCTCCACTGCTATCACCTTGGGCTTGGACCAAGATCCAGAGCACTGTAACAATCTCTCACCTGGTCCTCTTGTTTCCACCCTTACATCCTCCCACCCCACCTCTCATCCTACACACCACCCCTGCCCCATTTTCCACACAACAGCCAGGGTGATCCTTTTAAAACATGAGTCAGATCGTGTCCCTTCTCTGCTCAAATGGTTCTCTGTTAGGTGCAGAGTAAAAGCCGAAGCCCTGACCACCAGCTACAAGCACCCACGTGGTCCACCCCCGTTAGCCTCTCTGACCTCAGTCCTACCACCCTCCCTCTTACATCTTCTGTGCCAGATTCTGGCCTCTCTACTCTTCCCCTAACACACTTGGCACTTCCTGCCCCAGGGCTTTGGTACAGGCTCTCCCCTCTGCCTGGAAGCCTCTTCTCCAGATGCCCGAGTGATTCATTCTCCCGTAGGGCAAATCTTTGCTCAGATGTTACCTACTCAGTGAAGGCTACCCTGACCACTTTTCCATGATCTGCCTTGAGCACATTAATTATTTCACCAGGGCAGGTGTCACTGTGACCTCTGGTCTCCTCCTCTCTCTCTCTTCCTTCTTTTATTCCTCCCTCCAGGACTTAAAGCCCTTCTCAGACTTGGGAGGATGCACCTTCTCCAGGCCCCTGGGCAGCCCCCATCTGTGGGGCATGTGCACACTGTAGGCACCCCCCAGGCCAGCCCAGGCTGAGGTGAAACTTCCAGAAACCCTGAGCTTGCTCACGACTCCTCTCAGATCCATCCTCCTCTATCCCCAGAATGTTTCCCATACAGATCTGACTATCTTGCTTTCTTGATCAAGATTCATCTATGATTCTCCATCACCTATAGGATAAAATTCTCTCTGCAGATTTTTAAAAAGATTCAACACAGATGATGGCCATCTCCCTCTCTCCCCATTCTCTGCCCAAATTGTCCCCCTTTTCCTTCTCTATCCCCCCGTCCCACTATTTTACCCACCCCATCTTACCTTCTAAACCCCTCTATTTCCCTTAAGTAATACCATTTACCCCCCTCAGCTTATTACATCTACACCCCCACCTATGACCCTACGCAGAAAAAGAAAGGACTCTACTGGGGACCCACCTCTGCTTCCCAGGGGGTGGTGTGAGAAGTAAATAATAATTTCCTTTGACACAACATTGTAAAATGACTATAACTCAATTAAACAAAGATTTGCCTAGCCCTCAAAAAAAGAAAAAACATTTCCCCCATCACTTAAAATAAGCCTGCTGGGAACCCTGTGGGAGAGTAACCAAAGTCTCGTGAGCACACATGGGGAAAAGCTTCATTGAGGAGAAGCCATTTGAGTTGGGTCTTGTTGAATGAACAGAAATTTTCCAGGTTTTGGGGCAGAAGGAAAAGTGTAAGCAAAGAAAGGAACTATGAAGCCACCCAGGGTATTGGGGGGATGGTTTGATGAATCACAGAGAATACAGTGAGGAGGGGCTGACAGTGAAGCTGTAAAGCGAGCCGGAGGGGAATGTGAAGGGCCTGCAATGCCTGGCAAGGAGAGGGATTGTTTTGTCTTTGCATTGCTAGGCAGACATTAGCTTCTCGTCAGTGGCAGACTGGAAGCAGAAACAGTCCTGTATACAGGCGACAACAACCTCACCCTCACGGTCAAGGGAGCATCACCAACAGAACATTCACTGACATTACTTTGCCCCGAGGATTAAGTACTGTACTAAGCACGAAATACGTCATGTGTCAACCTTACAAGGGAGGTGCTATTATTCCCATTTTGCAGATGTGGAAATGGAGGCACTGACAGGTTGTAAACAACTTGCTTGAGAAAAGAGGTGAGGTCAGGATCAGTCTACAAGCCGTCTGACATTCCCTGCTCACACAAAACATAAAGATGTGCTCACAGGCTTATATCCATTTACAATTCAGGACAATGTTATGAGGATTAAATGAGATAATGCATGTAACAAAGTTAACTTAGCGCAGGTTCTGGAACTAATAGCAGATCAAAAATGTTATGTTGTTGTTTCATTGTATTTTCATTGTTTTGTGCTACATGCCATGTGGGTGACACAGACTATTAAGTTTGCAGTCCACAGGGGGCTGGAGTGCACAGCAGACGGTGGCAGTCAGGGATGACCTCCTGGCTTTACCCTCAGTCTGGAAATCAGGCAGGTCTGAGTTCATAGCCATAGCCCTTCCCTCCTAAAGCAGTAGGCATTTGTCCCTTGTCTTTGGGGAATGCCCAGCATCTAACTCTGTGATTGGATGGCACAGCATTGGGGAGAGTTCACTCCTTCATCATTATAAGATGATGAGACTGTGGTGGTGCCTTTTCTCTTACCCCGGAAGGCAGCCGGGCCAGGTGACCTGGCAGCCAGGGCAGCAGCAGGGAACCCAGACTCAGGCAATAGCTACTTCCGCCCAGGACTTAAACTTGGACTAGGTGATGCCAGGCTGGAAGTTGGATCACACGGCAGGGCCACTGAAGAACAGAGGTAGATTATTCCTGCCAATGGCCAATCTTTTGCCCTCCAGAGCTTTTTTGTTAATTGGTTGTTTTCGAAGTCTGGTCCTCCAGCTTCTGCTTCATTCTGTAAGCCCCTTCCTATAAAGTCCATTTTTTTGCTTAAGTGGCAGAATCAGTCCTTGTTTCTGTAACTGAAAGCATCCCTAACCACATGGCTCTGTGGGCTTACTTATAGAAAACGCCAGCAGGCCCCTATATTGTCCACTTCCCCATGGCCAGTCACCAAGCAAAGGAAACCACTAAGCTGGGTTCTGTTCCCACAGAGCTCTTCCAGATGCACTGAACATCTAAAAATTTAGAAAGGAACATTGTTGTTGAGAACAGGACTTACTCATAAACAGCTGTATCCTCACAGACGTTTAGCTTCCCTACCTCTCCCTCGTCCAAAACAGAATGCCCTCAGCAAAGTCTTGGCCATGTCACCAGCCTATTGCATGACACCTCCGGGACCTGGCACCCATCACCTCCCAAGCAGCTTATCTCATCCTTGGACTTTCTTAACAGAGAGTTTTCCTTCTCTTTAGCTGAATTTTGTCTTCTGGTGACTTCCTCCATCAGTCTCAGCCTTGCCCCGTGGTATCACACAGGACAATGAGGCTACATTGGGAAAACTAAAGGCTTTGGAAGTTAGCTAGGCTTAAGTTTTAGCTGTGCTTCTTAACAGCTATGTGATTTTTTAAACATTTCTTTTTAAAACACCCGTCTGGGCTTCTGTTTTATCATATGTATAACGAGGATAACAATCTTGACCTTCTGAGTTGCTTACATGAACTGATGTCTGTAAAAATGGCCCGGCAGAATCCTCAGACAAGATGAACATTGAAGAAACGGTAGCCAGTGATGACCGTGGCAGGGGTGATGACTGTGGTATTGCTGGAATTGTCTAAACCTCAATATTGTCCCCTCCAGGAAGGCTTGCTGACTCACTCTCTGCAAATGTGGGGTACGTGCTTTCCCACGGCATCCGTTGCTCCCCCATCAGAGTGGCTCCAGCACAAGATGTAGGGATTGTTGGGTCTGTCTTCCCCCTGGACCGTGAATTCCTCAAGGGCAAGAATGATGTCTTATTTGTGCTCTGTTCCTGTGTCTGACAAAGCCTGGACTACAGTGAATTAAAGACGCAATTGTTGAATGAATACTTCATGCTTTGCCAAACACTTTCCTGTCTTAGATGATACAGTTCTCACAACCATCCAGCCACACAGGTGGATTCCATTTTTCAAGTGAAAGCGTTGAGGGCCAGAGAAGGTAAGCCATTCCTTCAAGGTCACCCATCCAGAAATGCATACAGCCCAGCCTGGAATCCAGGTGCCCTGGCCCTGGGCTCCATGGTCTTCACACCTGGCCATGCTGCTTCCAGGAAGCCCCTTCGGTTCAAAAAATGAGACTTGAAACTGCAGGAAAAGTGTCATAGGTGAGAGATCCTGAAAGATCAACTCCATGATCCAGCCTGCAGATGAAAGCAGGGTACGGCTGGTGATTCAAAGGCAGCGCAGTCCCCAAGAACCCCAGCTCTCTTTAGAAGCTAGAGCATTTGCGGAACTCTTCAATCAGTAGCACCTATGCTGGGTTCTTTTTGAGCTAATTTTTAAAGGCGGCTTCTAACAGCAACCAGTTGATCAGTAGATGGGTATTTATTGAAGAAAACATCTTAGTCAAGGTGCAGGAGCCCTGGCTAGGGGCCAGGGACAGGCCTCGCTTCCCACATCTATATCATCTTGGGAAAGGAACCTCCCTCCTCTGGGCTCCATGCTCTTCTTTGTAAAACGAGGAGGTTATACTTCACTCACAGAGGACCCTTCCAGCTCTCTCATCATATGATTCTAAAGCATCGGTAAGTGGGCTTTACCTCCAAAGGTAGGGACTTGGAGGAAGCACACATTTTGAATAAAGTTAAGTTGAAATATAAAAAGAAGGAAAATTCTAGGAAAAGGGTTGATACCATTTTAAAAAGAAAAGAAAGAAGAACTGAATAATCAAAGGTTACCAATATCTTAACATTAACGGCCTGCATTTTCCAGCATTTGAGATTCGCCTCAGACCCAGG